CCCCCCCCGGCTGGTGAGGGTGCCCCGCTGGAGGCCCCGCCGGAGGCAAATAAATTGGAGTAATTTCGCTTCATTTCCCATCAAAATTACCGGAAAATAGGCCTCCGAAACCTGCAGTCAGTGTACAGCCGTCTGCTTAAAATAACAATATGTATGTGGGGAATAGTGTACATCTACACTGAGAACTGAAAATCATGTTCATCAGTTCAATATTCTGCACTACTGCTTGGAGAAAGCTCAGCGGTATCGCACGCCGCAACAAGAAAGGCAAGCGTGCTTGTCGCAGAAAAGTCGAGCTCTCCCAACAGCGAGCGATGAGTGGCACAACAATGAGAGATAAATGGATAATAGCTGCAGTTACTTCGTTGAACGCGCGCATTTCGCGGCGTGCAGCTGCTGTGTGGTTTGTGGTGTGCAGCAGTGGGGGTTCCGTGTGGAATATCGGGGGTTCCGCGGAGTATTATCAATTAATCGTATGATATCGAAACATCGAAAAGGTTCCAATGTTTTCGATGTCCGATATCGATACGACACAAAAAATCAATATGATGCCCAACACTTGTTCCCGGTGCTTGCCCTGCTATCCATGTCAACCGAGCTCGCCGGCATCCACACGAAACACGGGGATTGACACGGGGATCCCCGTTTTTGCGGGTCAGGGTAAAGTAACGAAGATCTACCCCACCCTCTCACTGCTAGGACTGGCAATGCATTGCTTGTGACTGTAGTCTGACTGTGGTCTTTTTCGAAGGGGTAATATTCGAGTGATTGTTATCATATTTTTTTCGAGAAAGCGCGGCACGAAAATCACAGCAGTGTTGTGTATGGCACCGTTGTTGGTGATGGTTTCAGCTCGGAGGCAAGCCGGGAGTCCCCCCGGCTTCGGGCGACACATTGTAGATGGGATGGTTATTCCCAAAGCACTATAGTACATGTGTTGGGGATGAGGGGAGTCTTTTCCTTGTGTCTCGAGCCATGCGGAAAAGGATCGAAGAAGCGACCGAAGACAAAATCGGTGTGCCCCATTCACCCACCTGTGAGGTTGATTGCTGCACGTTACACGTGACGGCCGCTAGC